GGTATTATTGTAAATGGCGGCCACTACTTAGAACATGCTACGCGTAGCCATACTGTCCAGCAGAAGTAACGCAGCAATTGCAACTGCTACATGAAGCCGCTACGTAGCGCTACGTAGCGCTAGCTTCGGCTAAACACACCCTATTGTTCGTGAAAAAGCGAGTAGCTGATTGGTTATCGTATGAATTTTACAGATTATTCTCTAGAAGAGGCGCGAGATGATCTGGGAGCAAAAAGGGTGACTTCCCCTCTATCTGTCAATATGTCCCTTATAGCATGAAAGCCTTTTCGATCAAGGGCCATCGCACACAAGCTGCTGCGTTCCGTTTCACGCAAATTCGCGCACGTGACATAGCTGCATACGCATAGCAGAAGTCCACTTGGACCAATAAGCATCTAGCATAGTGTTGTGTAAAATCACTGTGACGACTTTTTGCTAGATGCTCATTGGTTGAAATGGTCTTATGCTATGCAGCTGTCATTTTGTGTGTGATAGCCCTAAATGTAGCTTCTTCTTCTTTGCTTCTATGGCTCACGCCCCTGCGAGAGAGGAGCAAACGCCAGTCTACTGATATACATTCTCAGAACGAATCCCCTAAATGTAGCAATCGCTTGTCCGTCGATAATAAATAACGCGGCTAGTATACAGATATACTGGTAAGAGAATAATAATAAATTACTTGATTTAATTATGATTGTAAAAATAAAAATAAATAATTGTATAACATCAAAAAAGTTACATGAATCACCGTTATCCTTGCTATTTTTTTTCATAACATAAAATTTGTCATTTAATATCCACCACATGTGTGTGCACGATGACTTTTCGCAATAACAATCTGCAGAAGTCTGCCGTCAACAATGTTTTTTTTATTCGCACGCGTCGTAACGCGCGATTTTTTATATAAATAAAAACACAATCAGTTTTTATGAAAAATTTATTATGTTTATATATCAAATAATTATTATGTGTATCTTATTACATTCGAGGTAGCAAAGACCATTTGGTGCATACAAACAAATTTATAATGAACGGTACAACTTAGAAAATTATACTTAACACATAGAAAAATAGATAACATTTAGTAATCACAGAATGATAAAATCAAAACATGAAATTTTTAAGTAATACAACACAAATCAAATTCACACTGGAACGGAGTATCAAATAATATGAAATAAAAAATAAACCCACAAGAAAAGTGTAACTTAAATGGGACCTTGAGCACCACTGGTTTTTTTCCATTATATGGTTTTAATATTTGTATTTGAATTTCATTCTTATCAAGTAGCGCACTTTTACCTGAGCTACATCGTATACGATGTATTCGTTGTATAATAATGCCAATGGTTTATTAAGATCAGCAGGTACACCTGTTCCCAAGGGGACTTCAACGCCGTCTTCTGTCTTATAGACATTCTGAGGATCAGGTTGAGTCCGACCGCGACCCAATGTCGAGTGTTTACCTTTAGGTAGCTTCTCGATGTAGTCCGCATGATATCTCTCGTACATATTACCCAAAGCGACCTCACAAAGCAGCAACAGACCAGTTGGATTCCCACTGTGCGTACAGCAGTAATTTGCAGACTTGGACACCATATCGGCGAAGTAAATACCCTTGCCGAACATGTAACCCGTAACGGGCGCTTCTGGAGGCGCAATGCGCAAACCTTGCGACAATATTCCCGCGAAATTTGTAGTTCTGGATCCGTGCCAGAGCAACTTTCTGTTGGACAGCTTCTTGAAGGGTTTGTATCTCTGCTCTTCGCCTTGTCTCTTGACGACAAACACGTCCTCGATCTCGAGCTCGTATTGCGTGTGAGTAGACGCGTGAGTATTCTTGACGTATTTTTCAATCATCTTGTATTCCTCGCTTGTTTTGTCCAATACATCAATATCCGTCTTCAGCTGCTTGTAGTGACTGTCGAGCGGATTCTCTTTCTCGTCAGTCTTGTCACGCAAAAGATTGTAGGCAATTTCCATCTCGAGCAACGCATCCAGCATGTCGCATTTGTTTTTAATCTCATCTGGATTGTCGAGAATTTTTGGTCCGGAAATACCAAAATTGTGAGGTATCAGTGTATAAAATTTATTGGACGCTTCGATCAATGTGAGGCGTTCTGGATTGCTCTTCTTCATTATCTCTTGCAATTCCGTTAAGACTGAATAAGCTTTCTCAATTTGCTTCTTAGACAGTTTTCCGAGCGGCATTTTATCCATGTCTAATTCGAACTCCAGCATAACTTTCTTCATCTCATTCACATCGAAGATAAGACGCATCAGATCCTGAATTGGTTCCTTCAGATTACTCTTGATATCAGAATCCAGAGAAACAACTTCCTCGTCTCCATGATCTATATCGATCGGATACATCAGGCCGGGCACCTTAACGAAGTGTTTTCTATTCGCCCAAGTATTACCAGATTTCTCGAGATACAATTCCTCGAACTGTTCTATACATTCTCGCAGCGGCATTGATTCCAACTTGTTGCCACCTATTGTAGTACCGATTCGGCCCCAATTTCGAAACAAGTAATACTTATCGCGCTTATCGTGCTTCAAAATTTGTATCTTGTAATAACTATTCTTCTTTGACTGTATGTCTGTCAAACCTAGTGTCGCGGTGTAATTATTTTTACCGTCCTGATAAATATGCGCGCAGTCTGCCAATCCACTATCAGGATCAACAGCTCCGCCACCTTTTACTTGCACCTTTACCTTGCCAGAACTCGATTTTTCAAATCTGCTTTTGCTCTTGGAAGCGCCTGATTTTGCAATAATATTGGAAAGTCGGGCATTTATATCGCCACCCCAGCTGGAGATAGTTTTATTCTTTAAGAGCATAATGGGAGCATCTGTATATTCTTTTGCTTCCTGTATAAAATCTTCCGTTACTACTTGAATATCGTGAGATTTAACTTCTTCCATTCTTTTGTTCATTTTGTCCACTTCATTCTGATTTGAAATTACAGCAGCCAAGTCTTGATGAATTTTTGTGGTAACAACACCGCCTAACAATAAAATCTCTTTTTTTAGTTCTTCCTTATTTTTTTCTGTTTTTCCCAAAATAAGAAACTGCATGTCCCTCAAAGGACGTGGTCTTCCTTGTACTTTTGGTCCATCTGCTTCATCCTCTTCTTTTTTGATAGAGCTTGATGACGCAGTTACTTTAAACACACGTTTTTTTACCTTGGACTTGTACGATCTAAAAGTAAATCACAAGCATTCATACAAATTTCTATTTATATTATGTTTCTTGACACTTTGCGGTCCGCGGTCTACCCGAAAGCGATTGACGGCATCATGCCGTCGACGGACCGCAAAGTGTTAACACACATACTACGTGAAGAAGATATTTACTTAATTGGAAACTCTTTCTTCATATCGCTTGGTATTTCACACTTCTTTCTTTTTGGATCTTGGGTAACATACTCGCATTTAGTCCACTCTGTTACATTACCAGTACATTTATAACCCAAGCCCGAACTATATGTAAGCTGCCCCTTACATTTTGGACAAGGTTCTAAAGCTCCAAAATATAATATATCGGATAACAGATTCAAGATCTATATAAAAAATAAAGACTTAATTAAATATGACATAGACATCTTACGTAATAAATAATTTAAGTAGATAAGACATTTAAGTTAAAAGTTATTAACGACATAATATGAAAATATTTACGTTTGATTCTCCTGTTGGAACTTCCTGGCGATTTTTTTCCAATATTGCAATCAATTTGTTTTTTCCAAGACCGGAAATTTGATCTCTTATTGTATATAACTCCTCATTCTGTTTCTTCATCAATTCCAGTTCCTCTTTGTCTTCCGGTTCATCTTTTACCTTTTTTGGAGGAGGTGGTATTTCTCCTTCGGTTATTTTGGGCAGTGCTGTTTTAAGACTTTCCCGATCTTCTTTTGAGAGTTCTTTGGCACCTGAAAGCTCATCTCCTCTTCCATAATATCCCAAATCTGCTCGTAATTTTGCAAAACACTCTACATGATGCCATCTATCCAGACCACCAAATCTTCTAGCTTCCTCACTCTCATAATCTTTCTTTGATATTCTAATTTCGCTCTTTATTATCTTCTCATTACATCCTCTGCAAGTAGATTTATTAGATTTGGCATATTCTACCTTGAAATCTCCAGACCCAGACCCAGCGCCAGCGCCAGCAGCTTTGGTTCTTTTTCTTCCTTTTCCAGATGTTGGAGCAGTAGTTTTGAGACATTCTTCTGCAGATAAAAATATAAAAACACATTGATGATAAAAGAAAATAAACTGAGATTATTTTCCAAAATATATGCCAACCAATTTTCTTTCGAACTTCGTCTTGATCATCATTACGAATTTCATCAAAGCCAGCAATATCTGCAGTAGATTTTGGCCTCTGTTTCAGGAAGAAGCACTTCACATGATACCATCTGTCTATTTTTCCATCATGAACTGGACTCTGAAGTTATTAAATTTATTAGGTTTAGCTTTTGAACGTGTATGGAATACACACACTCATTAGAATACTTGTTATAAGATGGTTTTTATTAATTATGTCTAGTTTATCATGTATAAATGTTTTATTTTACAATCTTTCTTTAATGCAATAAAAATCAAAACTAGCACATGACATTTCCTACAAAGAGAAAGAGCAAATAAAAACAACAAAGTGAAGATGATATCATCACCATTATTGATATTATCATAATTTATGCAACTTTGACGTTGCTACGTGTTACAATTTTACGTAAGATCATCAGTCTTAATTGCATCTGCACGTGCTTTTGCGTGGTGTATGTACGTGCAATGGAATGTATTTGTTTGCAAGAACATTGACAATTTATTGCGGTACAGCGTGACAAGTGACAACAAAAGCGTCACAGATACGCTGAGAGCATCCATTATTCTGACGCGCAATTTGTTTGACGCCCGAAGTTTTCGCGCACGTAAAGTTCGATACCTGAACAACAGTAGAGATCCTCAGACTGAGCTTGCTAATAGGTTGTTTGCAAGCTTGACATTTGGAACGATCGCTTTTCGCGTATTCCGCGCGATATGGGAAGTCGTCGCTCATCTCGCCGATTACGATTGCTCGTTCGTCGTCCGAGATCGCGGAAGTAGATGCGCCTCACGACAATGCCCGGTGAACAGCACCGGTCACGCGTATATAACAGAACGGCAGGTTATTGGCAGACTATCGGCACAACTTAGCGGTTGTATAATCGGCGCCAAAACGTCTGCAGAACGTCTACCAACCTTCTGCAGACAACCAAAAAGTATCCAAGTATCGATGAATACGATTGGCTCTTAATTCATGTAACTGTGGACAAAAAAAGCGATGCTCTTGTTTTTTTTTCATGCACAAAGATACGAGACAAGAAGATCACTTTGTTATTCAAAAATTTAAACGGTTTTAAATGTTTTTTGTTATATTATTTACACATCGTTTTATATACGCCGTATCGCAATAAGTTAATGGTAATTTAGATGTCATATTATTTTTTTATACATAACACTCTGGTTCTTAATATATTATTTTAGATTGCATATCTTTGAATTTGCAAAAATGACGTAAAAAGTTGTGGAACTATGTAAATGAAAAGTGCGAAAAAGAAAAAAAAAATTAAACTGCCTCCTGTGAGGTTTGAACTCACGACCCCTGGTTTACGAGACCAGTGCTCTACCACTGAGCTAAAGAGGCTTCAGGATCTTCCCTTCTTGGTAAAAGAAAAAAGTGGCCCGACTACTAAACATCAAATCTTACGCAAAAATATGTTGCAGTTAATTTTGCAACATTAATTTTAAACAGAAGAGCGCAAAATTTAAAACGAAAATCTTTGCAATCAATTATTTATCCGTTAACTGTGTCTGCTTGATAAATGCAAACGGTTTTTCTCGATGTCGGAGTTTGTTTTAACTCGTATATTTTATTTCAAATTACAAGATTTCTCGAATGTATTGAAATGTGTTTAAGCAAGTCGAGTTTTTGTAGAAAAATATGTATATTACGTACGTATAAAATAAAATTTTTGAAATCACACGAAGACGAACAAAAACCAACGGTTTTGAGGGAAAAAATTCATCGCTTTGTGTGTATAGAAGATCTCGAATTAAGTTGACGCGTGAAGTTATTTTCGATAAAACCGCCGGGAATAGATTCGAATTTGTTGAAATTCGTGTTCGCACAACTCTCACTTCGTGATCGCGGACCGAGTTGACAAATCGTCGTGTCGCCAAACTCGGGACAACAAAATGGTAAAGTTCGTATTCCGAAACAAGATCATCGAGTTGGCGCCGGACACACAGTCGGCGCTTTACAGTGCGAAATGCAATCTCCTGGGATTTTCCTCAAGGCCTGTCCACGCTCTCGAAACAGATAAAGCACCGGAAAACGATAAAAGAGCTATCAGTTGTATGCCAAACGGAAGCTGTACCCGCTCTTGGCTTGGCTGACACAACATTTCAGAAACAAGATTTTGTGTTGCTCCATTCACATCTTTGCCGTGGTTATTAGTGTGAACTTGGTCTTCTTGATGAAATCTTTTTTCGCGTCGTGTTTCAATCATTGATAAAACAGATTGTGACTATCGTGCGATACATTCCGATAAATATAATATTATATTGAAATCCCATAATCTTGTTTAGGGACAATTTTTATTTTGCGTGGAATTACATATCGTCGAAATAATTTCTCTTTTAATTTTATTTAAAAACAAACAAAGAAACCACTTTACGTTGTAATACGCGAGTTTCGTAAACGGTGCTTCTTATAACGGAGATCAGGATGAGGTGTTCATCGATGGTTCTGATGGTCTTCGTTTTCTTTGGCCAATACATCGTTTATTCTCCGCAGGCGCTTAGTTTCAGAGAGGAAGTTGAGCAAGAAATGGATAAATATAATAAGAGAAGTAACGGATAATGTAACATACTTTTGGAAAAAGAACGAAATCGAGTAGAACTGACATGCGCGAAGTGTTAAAATTTAATTCGTTAATTATTTCGAATTGCGCGATAAACAATCTCAAATCAGTTGACACCAAACCAATCAATACGCGCTTTCTGAACAATAAAATGAACTTTAATGAACGTAATGTAATTGTTGTTGTTTTTTTCTTTCCGAAGGTTACCAATTATGTCCCCGATTGCGACTGAATAACGGAAGGGTTCGTCCACGGGCACGAGGTCGAATCGTAAGGTTCAGTTGTAACGACGGATTCATTCTCGTGGGCAACAGGTATTCCACGTGCGTGCATGGTGTATGGGACACTCCTATTCCCGTGTGTGTGAGTAAGTAAAGCTTGAAGAATTATCTCGGTGAAATTGGCCATCGGAGTGTTTACAGACCTTGTAACACATCCGCTTTTTTTTTTCTTTTGAATAGAAATAAAGTAGCTCAATCGATATTGTAACAGGCGCGAGAAGCGTCTAGTTTTGTTTCGAAAGACATGAGATTAATTTCAAATAGCTCGAACACACTACTAATTAAATGATATTTTCTCGCAATAATGAAAAACAATGATAGTTAATGTTAGATTTTTGAATTTATTTTTTTTTGAATTTATCTTTTTGTAAATACGTACATTTTTTTGTAAATACAATTCTAAGCGAAGCAATAGCTTTGAACGCAACAACTTTGATTGAGTGGACTGTATTTAAGTTTATCTTTCTGCAGATGCCGAATGCCCGAAGCCAAATCCACCCCCTCACTCGGTTATGGGATCAAAGTTGGACGGCGCGATATTGATGTTCTTTTGTGAGCCCGGCTATTCGCTCATCGGCAGTCCTGAAATTTATTGCAATGGATATCAGTGGAATGGAACGACCCCTTTTTGTCGAAGTATTTACAATGAAGCAAGAAACAGTTTTATTTTTCTTTCTATTTCATTTTTTTCTTATTTCCCTTCTTGTTTTTCTCATTCTTTTCAATACAATAAATGCGTCGGCTTACGCGATAAATCATTTCAATATAATATCGTGATATTAACAATATGTCAATATCTAATTATTTTACGTTCAATTTTTATATTTTACAACCAGTAAATAGATATAGTCAATACGCTGGATGTACGCGTGCAAATATAAATTTTTTAAACGTGTGAATCAATTACAGAAATTACGTTAAGAATTTGAAAATGATTTGAATTCGAAAATTTGTCTAAGGTGCTTAATTTGCATCTCAAATATATAAAAATTATTCATTTTATCCTTCTATGAAATTTAAAAAACCCATTGCGAAAAAATCATCTTGAATTCGGACTTCCTGCATGCCGTGCAGTCGCTTCGCCAATTCGGCATTTCACATTTTTGTTTCGTTTTTTTTATCTCTTGTTCAACTTTGTTGAAAAAAAAAATTATTATTATTTCTTCTGCCAAACTTCTGTCTAAGTTTTATTCATCTTAATAACGTGACAACATCCCGATGTTTCATGATAAGATACAAACACGTCCGCAATGACGAAGTGCGACTTCGAGACGTCAGATCTCTGCTGGTGGGAGGCGGATCCGTTTCACGATTTCAATTGGCAACGTCACAACTTCGAGACGCCGAGCATGCACGTCGGCACCGGACCGACGCACGATCACACTTTGGGAAGCGGAAATAATGGTATATACACACACACACAACGTGTAATATCTTCTCGTACGACCTCAACTGCAGCACGCTTGATTGTGAAAATAAAAATAGAACGCAATAAAAATACTGCAGGAGGAGAGCTGGAATTGTCTCTTTTGTAAACAGTCGCTGATTTCAGGCTACTATCTCTATATCGAGGCGTCCGGACGATTAGTGAACGATACGGCGAGAATCATATCCCCTCTGTACAATTCGTCATTGACGGAATCCGGATGCTTCTCGTTCTGGTAAATAACGTAAAAATAAAATGCACACGCTCGATAATTTATTCAAACAAATTCGATAATTTGTTCAAACAAATTTGTGTTCAAACACAACTACTGGCAGGTATCATATGTACGGTTTTACGATGGGTTCGTTGAATGTGTACTTCAAGCGAGAGGATTCCACGCCACAACTGATGTTCAGTAAGAGCGGGAATCAAGGAAATCAATGGCTTAACGGCATTTTCAACTTGCCGAAATCTAATGTTAGCTTTCAAGTACGTTGCGAGTGTTCATTTAATTAATATTAAAAAAAAAAACTACTAGATACAAAATACTAATTAAGTAGAGATAGTATTAGAAAAATATTATTAAACATACTAATTTGAAAAAATACTAGATAAAATTTAAATTCATTACGGTAAAATTAAAAATTTTAAGTTTTGTATATTGCGAAAAACTTTGTAGTGGTAAATAATAAGCAGATAGACCGATATAAGTATGTCGCATCACAATAGACAAAATTAGATGGGTTATATGGCAAAAATTAAACTGTTGAAAATGAAGTAAATAAAATTTGAACTCATTATATGGAGCAATAATCTAGACTGATGAGTTTATTGTGAGTTTAAATTTTATTTATAAATTATTTACAATTTTGTCCATCATGAGCTGTGATACAACTTATCGTGAATCTTGATTACTCACTAAAAAGATCCAACTCAAGGATCGAAAACCATTATATTTTGGAGTAAAATCATATTTTCACACACATTCTTGTATATTTGCTCGTATTGGTCCTTCTACTTATTATTATAAAAATTTCGCAAACAGTTTATCTATAATTTTTATAGATTGTGCGACTTGATTAATTAATTCGATTATTTACAGATTGTCATAGAAGGGGTGCGAGGCGCTAGTTACGTAAGCGATATCGCGATAGACGATGTTGCTATTTTACAAGGCGATGAATGTGTCGTTAGAAACGAGTCCGTGACTAACATGACCTCGAGCGATTATGGTGAGTTCACGTTATAAAACATTTACACAAATTTCGCACATTCTCGCGCGCTTCAATAAAGTTTTTAGACAGTTTTTAAGTGTATAAAAAAAAAAAAAAAAAAAACAAAACAAAACAAAACAGATTATGTATACGTGTCGCCATTTAAACAAAATACCCGCGATCTTTTCTAGATCAGATTGAGATAATCAATGCGCAGCAGACCTGCCGGAACAGATGCACGTTTTTTGTGACAGAAAGTACTGTTTCCACAAAATCGACATTTGCTACCGAGGGACCGGAGCCCTGCCTTTGTACGATCGATTGTGCAGATCGCTCCCTCTGTTGCCCGGATTACGCTGAATACTGCATACTAGGTAACTGTGTCTAATATTCTACGCTGTGTATGTCTGATCGATCTTTGGGTTGATTAGAGTGAACTTTAGAATTCAGTTTGATCAGCATTACATATAAACTCGCACAATTTCTCTGATCTCAAATTAATATCGCGAAATGTTTACCATATTTCTCCTCGAGACTTAATTTGTAAGTTTATTCGTTGTAACGTGTATGCGCAAAAGATTTTGTAAGTCGAGATAGAAAAAAAACACGGAAAGTAGTTGCAATAGGATAAGAGCGGAACTAGTTGATCATAAATTTTTAATTCAAACTATTATAGATCTTTGCATAATTATGATAGACTAACAAGAATTGTTGTAAAAGACAGCATATTTATCATATAAAATATTGCTTACATAGATAAACATGTATGTTGAATAAAAACATCAGAACGACCCAACATGTTCCATAAGTGGCATGAGAAATAAGTTGAGACGAAAGTATAATCAGCTAATAAAAATTATATATTATTTAATAACAACAGAATTAGATATATCAATCAAATCTTTGTTAAAATGTTTATTTCTTTTTTATAAAGTACGTGATACTTATACGTGAAAAGCGTTACTTAACAAGAACTAAAAACTAAACGTCTTGTAATAAAAATTAAACATAAAATATATTGTAAAATATATTGTAATTAGCAAGTAATGAAAAATAAAAAGTAACTTATTATTAAAAACAAAAAGGCAATTTCCACAGTCAGAAAACAAATGAACTTTAATATGTGACCTAATTAGCTCTTTATCAATATTGATTGAAATATTTTTTTATAATTAAAAACTCTTTCTCTCGCTAGTAAATAAAATAACAACATCAAAGTTAATAAACATACTATGACTTATATTGAAAAACTTCTACTTTTTATTAATCACTATAATTGTCACGAAGACTAAAAAACCGACCGATCTAATAATTTTACTTTTGGTGCAAAAAACCAAAAAATCGCCCGTTGACGGCCAAACATATATGCAGCGCAATAGTTTCCGTTTTCGTGCTTTTTTTCACGCAAACATCAACGTGTTCATACGCAGTTATTGAGATATTTGCAAGTCCCAACTAGCCCTCGTTCTATTCTGCGAACACTATTGTATCTTCGATTCAGTTGATCTACACGCTCGCTTGCGACTGACTGTCCGTTTCTTGAACCTTCTTTGTTTCCTTTACGACTTTATATACTTTCGTTTATTTTACAAATATTTGAGTCACTTTTATAACAAAAGTCTCTTTACATCTAAATCTCTCCCATAATTTCTGAAATTTTCAATTACAGCCTACACTGGCACGATATTCGATAGCACGACGAAATCAGCGAATGTAACGCTTATGGTGCCAGCAGAAGCTACCACTGTGAAGAGATTCCCGATAAATCCGAAAGATGACATCGATCCAGACGTGCCCTCAACAGTCACCAGATCCACAATGTCAAGTGTTATCATGAAAACCTACACTACAAAAATCGTCTTTGCCACAACAAGAAAGCCTCAGACTAAGAAAACGACACGTGTGATTAAACCAACGCCGCAGGTGGAAACAAAGGAAACGCCCTTCGAACTCAAGACAACTACGAGGCAATCCGAAGAGACACCGACGAAGCACGCGAAACTTCAAGATCAATCTGGTAACGTTAATGTCTTTTCACATGAAGTTGCTCCTTTCATTGTTGAAATGTCATTGAGACATTACTGATGCAACTTCACGTGCAAAGGTCTTTGTAATGTTTGTTACGTATAAAGAAAGTAAAAAAAAAAAGTGTAAAATGTTACATTGATTATAAAAAAATTCATAGATCAATATGATGCGGAGCGGAATCCGGAGAAAGTGAAACACCGTGGAAACATTGAACTGGAAATCGTCACCGCGGTCGGAGCGACTTTATTTGTGCTCTTCGTGGCGCTTACAATCATGATCATCTTTATCAGGAGAAAGAAATCTTACAAGAGAGGAACGAGCGGTTCGGCGCTCTCAGAGGACAGCGACGTCCGTTTCCTGACATCGGACGAAATACTTGATTTTAATTTAGCTCGACCTACTGATAATGACGAGCTGTAGCCTCGAAATATCAAAATTTGTTATTCAAAATTAAATCGATTTGAGTATTTTATCATACTCTCTTGATGAACAAATCAATAGCGGTAAATGCATTTTATTGATCTTTCACCATTTCTTTAATTTAACCTTTTGCATACAGACTTAAAAATTGACGACTAATACAGACTGGGTCTGTGAGACCCACGCGACTTTAAAATCGAATATCTACGCGAAAAATCAATATTTTTTCAATTTTGATTTTTTTAATTAAACGTTTAAACGATTCTGCGTCGAATAAAAAGCAAAAACAAATTTAAAAAATCTCTAGTAGTTTCGAAGTTGTGAGCGTTTAAAAACAAAATTAACTTTTACCAGAGAAACCGGTTTTGAATTTTTGAACTGGGTCTGGAAGATTTATATCTGTATGCGAAGAATATTAAGACTAAAAAATTATTGCTTATTTCTGTATAACGGAGTATTATTTTCATCAGACACACACACACACAAACACAAACTTGTAATTATATTATCATAAAAAGTTTTTTATAAGTTTATGATATACACTTATGATACATGCTCTAAGTTTTTTAAATATTTTATGTATATATTATTATTTTATACATATACATATATATATTATATTTTATATACATATATATGTATATATATATATATATTATTTTATATATATATATAAAATAAGGATGTTGACTTCTATATAATTAATTATATAAAAAATTAAAATATTAATTATATATAAAAACTTTATATTCAATATAAATAATTTATATAAATTGTATAAATTATTTTAAATCTAATGATTTGTAGTAGCTCAAAAATTTTCAAATTAAAATAGACCAGTGGGAGCACGGTTGATTAATATATGAAGATTGTATGTGAAGTTGTAACAGACGTTTCGATCCCGGGATGTGGACTATCAATGCTAAAGTTAATTCCTAGATGTCACAATTAAATTAAATTATTTTTAACTAAATGAATAATAAGAATATATTTGGTCATGAGAGCCGATCGCAGGGTGTTTTGCGGAAATTATACGTGTATATATATATATATATATANCTGGAATCTCCGGCTTTCCGGGCCGTCGCCTTCCCTGTTAGGCCACCAAGGCACTTGGAGTTTGTCTCGCAATATTCTATACATCTATTGAAGATGTTCTGATACTGTAATACCGCCTATACTGACAGCGTTAATTTAACAATTAGTATTATTATTATTATTATTATTCATTTAGTTAAAGACTTTTAGAGCCCGAGAAAAATTCTCAGTTTACTACTAAATTATTTTTATCTGATATCTCTCTTCCAAAATATATCGTCTCGCAACGTGCGCACATAATTTTATATAAATCGAGTTAATCTTTCTCTAATAATCTGTTTTCCGATATGATACGCTTGTGCTAACGTCTGTTTCAAAGCGTCAAACGTACGTGCAAATTCAACAGATGGCACGATCTCTGATCGTATCGGTGATACGATAGCTCTTTCAAAAAATTAAACTGCCGTTGGCGTTGCGCAAGAGATTCTACTTAAGAAGTAAATCACGCACTTGCGATTGTCGAGCGCATCGATTGATTTCACTCGGGGAGTACGTCATTGCCGAAATATGTATGCAGAAACACGTAGACGCAATAGTTCGTCCACACGCTACCCACAGTTGCTACACACAGGTGAATCGCGTCCAGATGTTTAGATAAGGTGTTACGTATTGCCCGTAACTCTTTTTTTTCTTCTTTCTCTTAAATCAAAACGCAAACAAGGGTCCGCGTTCGGACCTCGAAGAGTTTATAATTCTAATTTACAAATTCTGTCGAAAATCCTTTCTCCCTTCGTCAAATACATTTTTCACAAGTTAGTTACGTTCATGTGGATCCAGTGAATTATTTATATAGCATCACTTTGGAGTCGCGCGGCATGCGACGAATTTTTGTGACAAACGGATTTACGTGAATGTCGTGAAACGTCGTGGCTTTTCTCTTGGGAGAGAGTACGGGTAAAAGAATACAAAGCCCGAAATAGATATTGAATTTTGTTACGTGCTATGCGCGCGGTCGATTTGCCGCACGATTTTAGTTCGCGTTTCACCGATCTGTTCCGTATGCACACGTCGATTCGAAATTATCGTGTTTCATTCGCGAAGAGGGCTTCATCTGCAGGAAACAACATATTTGTTCGGAGCAAAACGCAATTTACTACATGACAAAAGAGTTGGACTTTGTCCCGACGGGCTGTCTATATCTCGAAAGCGTCTCCTATTAAGATCGCGAACCGAACTTCCATTTCCATGCTAATCTCCTCGCACAAACGACCTGTCAGTTTCAAGCGGCGTTGCAGCTGCAAAACGTGAGAGCGCGTCTTTCTTCGCGCGAGCCGCCCCTCAACGGGAGAAGCGTTGAAAAAAAAAAAAAAAAAAATGAAAAATAAAAACTAAAATATAAAAAATAAAAAATATTGGAAATGCGTCGTCCGCGCATCTTCACGCGGCCGAAGACGAGGCAAGGTTCCAGTGAAATTTCACGCCTGCTTCACGTCTGCTTGCGAAAGCTCACGACGCTCTTACCTCTCGGACACTTTCTACGCCGTTACCGAATTGTCGTCGCGTGCAGTCTCCTTCCCCCTCACTTTTGATTCGCTCATCTGATCCGTTCGGGTGGATTCGGCCCTGACGACCTCTTGGGTTTCCTCTCCTCGCGCTTCTTTGTTTTTGTTTGTTCTTCAATATAATTGAACGATCATTTTTATGAGAATAACCAAACCTCTCCCGGTGATTGGCACTTATCGATTTTTTTCTAGTTGTTAACATTCGCGTTTGCGGCCACTTTTTACTTGACATTATGATTAGAATGGATGTTTTTTATTGCTACGTTATTTTAGAGTTCTTTAATGACACTCTTGAAAAACAAAATTGACAAGTCTTTAAAGTGCCAATCATCAGGCCTTAAATCTTTTTCTATTATACAAAATTCCATAGACGCGTAATTTTTTTCCGCATTCGTAACGATCGAGCGTGAATCGGATAAAAAAAAAAAAAAACGTTGATGCGTGCGCGATTCGACGAAGGTCCCATTGTCATTCGGCCGTCGTCGTCGATCGCGCTTACGCGTGTATATGCGTGCCGTTCATGATTACGTCGTATGTCAGGTCGCGCGTAACGAGCTCGATGCGATTGCGTGCGGCAGAAGCACGTGTACATCGCTGAAAAGCGACAACACACGTGGAGCACATCACCGAAGAAAGAAAGGAAAATTCGTTGCGTGGCCTCTCGCTTTCTCTCGCGCGTCTTCGGGTGCTTCTTTACCTCTCTTCCCATTCTTTTTTCCCGTCGCTCTTTGTCGCTCTACTTGTTGCGGCCCGACAATAGCGTGCATTATCTGCTCGTCACGTCGCGGGGTTGATAAATCGAAGCGATGTCCGCGTCACATGTTCCTATTACCTTCTCTCGCTTTCTTTCGCTTTCCTGGGTTTTTGCTGTGAGTCGCCAAGTTTTGTCTACTTAAATCCGAATCTATACAAAGGGCGATTTGTCAGTGTATCCGATATTATATGTTGTTTCATTAAGTTTTTGCTGGCTTGAAATTAGTAGAGATTTCCGGAAGGAAGATTGCCAAAAGTTTTTACAAGTTTTTTTTTAGGAAAAAAGAATTACTGACTATTGTATAATGTACGCAAACAAGTTATTTTATAACATCGTGTGTATATAAAATAATTACTGAGGAGATGCAATGTTAATGGAACACATGATTAATTGCTATTTAGCATGCACGACCGATTGCCAGTCGGTCCATAGTCATTGAAATCCAGTCACGCGCAATAATAACCAAAATATCTCGTGACTTCATTATTTTCCAAAGAAATATATCGACGAACGATTGAGAGATGAGAAATAATATTAAAAAAAAAAGAACGTATAACGACAGTATCACATTACTGTTATTGTTGTTGACAAATTTGATCTCCAGAAGAACAAAACGTTGGCTCATTAATGTTTATATGACAATCAAAAACGCTTTCAATGATTTTTGACAACTGACCAGCTCACAACCGTTACAGTCAAAAATTCACGAGTTTCGAATTTGCCGGATAGAGTTTATTTGCGATTCTGAAAAAATGACTCGAAAGAGGAATTTTCGAGCAACAATCAAGTTATCGATGCCGTAAATGGCTATTTTGAAGAGAAGTCGCTCTACCAAAGTGGCACAAGTGCTCCTGAGAAGCGCCGGTCAAAGTGTTATCGAAGGCGACCGTATTAAAAAGTAAATGCATCTCAGCCCGATAAATTGTTGTTTGTCTTTTCGTTTCGGATACTTGTCAATCGCACCTCTTGTGCAAATACAAGAGTGCGTAATGATGCATTCTGCTAAAAGAAGACTTCCTTGCAAAAAAAAAAAAAAAAAAAAACAGGAAGAGATGTCGCGCAAAGAAATTGTCTGCGTAAAAAATCACGGAATTTTTATTTGGCTTTTCGTAATTCCGACCGAGTTCGCTTCTCTTATCATGATGCATGCAACAGTGCTTCCCCGGGTGTCACAATGGATTTAATCGTCCTAAACATGACGATCGAGCCGTCTATTCTCGACGTCCTTTGTTGGTAGGGGGAGACGGTTCCGGAATTGCAGAGCAAACAGTGACCGAGGTAGGCAAGTCGGTATAAAATCGAACGATTCCCCGATCAAAGTCACAGTTCTCAGGCTTGTCCTCACGGTGTATCATCACCATAACCCCTACCCGTGTCTTACCCGTACTGAGACGCAAGGTGAGTGTCGAAAACCGGTTTCTCGTTTGCGAGCGGGCGAAAGCATTCGGAATTTTTAACTCACTTTCTTCGTCGATTGCAATTTCATGAGAAACAGGAAGAAAGGGAGAAAGAGATAGCGCGGACACACATTTCTGATTCACTTGCAACACGCATATGTTACGTATGCAAATATATCTTTCGATTTATAACAAACGAGATCACTGCTAATGGCGATTAGATCATACGTCAATGTTAATGAATAACGAAATTAGAAAGTAAATTAATTCAGTATTGTAAATTAATTCAGATATCGCTTGATTTAAAATTCAGATTTGCGTTATTTTTAGATGTGAGGTTTAAATATATTCCTTGTGGATTCTCTTAGTGGGTTATATTGATTTTATATTAAATAACAAAGTTTTTATATATATAGTGCGAATTTTTGCCAAGTGAAGAACTGCGTATCGAAATCTTCGGTTTTGTTAAAAAACAAAAAACAAACTGCTTGATACGTGGGTATGAAATATCTGACGTATAGTGTTCTTCGTGAATAGATGCGTTGCACCATCATCGCCGCTGTTTGCTGTGTCCTTGCGTTAACAGCAGCGGCGGAAGAGGCTGTCCAACAGAATCAACAGCCACTGGACATCGGAACGGCCGCTATCGAAAATCAGGTTGATGGCGGTGATGTACACGTCAGGGAAAAGAGAACGCTGTTCTTGAAGAAAAAACTGATTGGCGCTGGTCTTCTTGGCTTCGGTCTTGGTGTTGCCAAAGGGTAATTTCAAAAATTGTTTTTATATACAATTTATAATTGATGAGTTTCATCTATTTTCACTAATCTGTGTGTACGTCAAGTAATTAATCATTGATAAAAATTTCTCAAAAGAGAAAAGTACACGTTGTTCACAACGGATCATTTTTATTATTGTTTTGTTAATTAATTTTTTTATAATTTAACGAAAGTTTTTTTTAACTTTTTATTTTTTATTTTCAGCTACAAAGCCGGTTACTTCCACGGACCGGAAGTACATCATGTTTATCTTCCACCGCCTCCGGTGAAATACGTGGAATATGTCGAAAAACCTGTTTTCATCGAGAAAATCATTCCGAAACCCATTTACAAACCACACATCGAATATGGCGCGCCGATCTGGTCGCAACCAGACTCCTACGGGTGAGAAAGAGAAGAACCGGTTAATTTTTCTGCGCTTTCTAACGCTTTTATATCATCGAAATATTATTTTTGCTCTTTCACAATCTTTCTCTCTCACATTTGATGTCTCTTGCAGGCCTTGGTAAATCTAAGGTGCAATTCGCGTATCGATCTGATCTCCTTTACCTGAGGTGCCAAAAATTTGCGCGTGCATCGCGCATGTCATCATCAAGCCGGTCTCAGTTGGGAGTCTCTTGAAGTACAAGAAAAGCAATAACTAGTATTTAGCCATTGTTAAACAATCAAATATATTGTTATTATTTTTGTTACTGATGTTATAGACTAATAATAAAACACATAAGACACGTAAACACGTCTTGTGAAAGTTTGTACCCATCTTTTCAATTGCGCAAACATGTGTTTGTAAATTTTCAAGTTTAAGTAAAGAAAGCGTTGATAAAAAGATTTGAGAGAAAAATAAACAGACTACTTTACGTGTAAGGAAGAAAGGTTTTTTTTTTTTTATTGGTTTTGTTAAGGAAAAGAGGTTTTTTGTACTGTCAATTGTATGGCTGTATTGATCATCATCTTTATTATACCGGAGATGTTACCGAGTAACATTGAAATATCAGTAACGAGTATAATCGCACAAAATGTGCGCGTCTGAAATATACAAATATCCAACTCTCGCCATTGATCGCTATGCTATATATATTTAGATCTCCGTTCGACACAATATCTTTTAACATGTAACATTCATACGTACAATTAAAATCTCTTCTATTCACAGTCAGATACAGATGTATAGAAACAATGAGCAGCAACGCAGCAAATATCAATATAATTTTTCAGATATTTCAGAGAATTTGAGCGTCTTAATTTGTTAAATATATATTATTACACAATTTGTTTATCTCATCAATATTACAACAATCGTATAATTAAAGCTCTCGAATGAGAGCTATGTTAATTCTCTGAAAGATTTCAATAATTTTGATAATTAATCATCCAATTGTTTCGTTCGTTATAAATAATTAGTACGTCAAACATGTATGGATAAATTAGGCATATTATACGGTTATTATCTTCTATTCAATTATTCACGATTATAGTCACATATTTGCTACGCCACTGATAATATAAATGACAATTGTGACAGATTGATTGTAACAGGCATCCGTGTGTGAAACGCATGCATCTTTGCACTTGTTTTTTTTTTTTTTGTTTATATTCTTATTGCATTTGTGATATACATTTTTTAAAAACATTTAACAAAATAAATAAAACCAGAATATTTGAAAAACAGGAGTATCGATCGTTTCACAATTAAAAAAAAAAAAAATTGAGTGGGATTAAAATTCAGACCGCGCGAGATTGTGACGCAACTCTTGATAGTTCAAGGATGCCTGTTCACGGGAAGGCGAGTCGCTCTCGTGAAGAGAAAGTTAAATACGAACTACTTATACTTATTCATATCGTTAATATTAACGTCTACACGACTACACGAAATTACATTGAGGTACGTATACTATTTGTTAAAGTACGCGGGCCCGGCCGCGCACGTATGTATATTGTGCACATCCTCTTCAAATCTAATGGAATATATTTTGCGAATTGATTTTTTTTTCCTCGCGAGAGAGCGCGTATATTTTTTGACAGGAAGTGCTTTCTCCCTCGCGAGTGACGGACAGCCGTCGACAATTATATCCGAGTATAATTATTGTTAGAGTGACGTTACAAAATGCGATTTATATTCCTTAACGATTGTCGTCCGGATTAGCACCGAGGCTGTGTCAACGCGCTGATTTTCAGAGTAAAGACCCGAAAGTTACTCTCTATTATACATATATATTACATAATACGTATAGGAGCTCGACGAGAAGCTAATCAGGCTTGTACGAGCGTGTTTGATTCGCGACTCATAGACCGTGGAGATAAGATTGAAAAGAGAATCCTCTCTCGCTCAAGGAATCCTCTTTTGATTCGGAAAAATAGTTTATTATAAATAACACTTCAGTTTTTTATATATTTTTTTAATTTTTTTTTTTTTTATTCAGACAAAAATCCGAAAGATATCTTGAAAGATGTTCCAAAAGCTTGTCTAAATTTTTGTCTTAGCCATCTTTCTTAGACAACTTTCGAACTTCTGTTGAAATATATAGCTTATCATCACTTCGGCAAATAATACCGAAGAATTTCGAGGAGTATATGTGTAACGTGTCTGTTTGTTGTTTTCCTTCGCTTGATTGTAAATTGGACAGAATAAAAGTAGCCAACAAGACGGCACATCGTATACGTATATGTGTCAGTTATTTGTCATCATGTGTGAGAGCATAGAAGTACGTTGGAATATTACGATTATCTCTTGTCAGTCGTTCGGAACGTTTGCAAGGAGATATCGCTCTAAGAGCTTTCAGTGAGAAATTTCACTCGTCTGTTAACGAAATAAATGAATCAAAATCTAAAAAACGCGCGCTTACTTTTCAAAAGCAGATGTTGATGACAAAAACGTACACGAAGCGCGAGAGTTTTTATATAAATGCAAATTTATGTTTGAGTTTATTATGGAACAATAACTGTGACATTTATATCAAGTTGATGAGAAAACGAATCGGGGTTAAGAAATTGTTCTTCTATTTTGAAACCTAGTTAGCGCGATAATTCACATTTGCATTGTTGGCTGTGATAGTAAAGAAGTGAAAGATTAACACGATGGAGATTGTCGTCCGCGATAAAAGGCTGTTCTTCCCGCCTTCGTAAAGTCTTTCATGTCTGAGGATCGCATTCATCATCTCATCGGGGGCTCGTTAGTTCTCTTTTAATCATTTTACTTCACCTCTCGCTCTGCCATATTATCCTTCTTCATAACTCTCAAATGGCGTTAAATCGATCACGTCACTCAAAATCATTTGAAACAATTGTCCAATGAAATAGTCATCCTATAACTACACGTATTGTCAAATTTTAATTCTAAAAGTGCTGCAATTTTTAATTTGTATAAATCTTCTTTCACAGAATAAAAAGAAACGAGAAAAATTATTTCTTTAAAATAAAAATACATTTTTTTTGTAATTTGTTCCAAGCACGAAGTAAATATTTTACTTTTTTACATACATATGTATATGTATGTAAAAAAGTAGAAATGTGTGAAATCGGTACACAAATAAATTTGTTTCACAATTAATATTTATGTTAAATAAATTTGTTTCACAATTAAAAGACAGAAATTGACAAATAAAAAAATCGAGAACATCACCTGGCAGTTTACTTGTGTGCCACTTTTTGACAATAAAAAACATGTTTCTTAACTACAATGCGTCGTTCGCAAAAATCCATCAAAGTATCCATCCATCATGATCACTTGAATTTCTGGATGTTTACGTCACACATCGTCACACGTGTGCTTCGACGTGATATTACCAACATTTACGATCATAAAGCGAGAACCCGTGCTGCATAACAATATTACTCTAGCGCGAGAAAAAATTCCTTCCACATCGTTTTTTGTCGCTTCGTGTGTCACTCGACCTAAGATTGATTTTTGCCCGTCAACCGCAAAAAACTTCCGACGAATTAGTAAAAAAGCCAGTCCGGTAATCCCGTCTTATCACAATCCTTTCGATTATGTTCGTTTGAAACACTTTAACCACATTATCGAGAACCGCAAAGTTACAAAACAGGATACACCATTACCACCGCAAACCGCGAAAAAAAAATAGCAGGTTGCATACAATAATATCTCGAATATACGTTAAAAAGTTACGAAAACAAATTTACTTAAATCTTTCAAAAGAAAAACCTGTGTAAAAAAGCGAGCAATTATTTTTAAGATGTATCGCATTTTATTTTCAAAAAAAAATCCAAATTTTTTCTGAAAAGATAATATCGAGAAATATATTTGCGCTTTTTTCTTCTGCTATAAATGAAGTCTATTCATTTCTTTTGTGTGTAAAGTCTTTATCTATCTACTTGTGGTTAAAGTGTTATCCACTCTGTTCGCAGAACGCCCACTCGTCTCGAGAAGAACGTGCATTTGTCACTCCGCTCGCTATATCAGCATACGTTCGACAAAATCGAATGTTTATTCGATTATCGCGAAATTATTAGGCCAGAAATTAAGTAACGACAATCGCACGTACTTGCTGTGATCGACGAAGCGCTTTCTCTTCTGCCTCTTAATCGCGTGAGGTAAAATTTAAATTTAAATTTAAGAGTAATCGAACCTGTACAGTTAGCACCTCTCCAATGATTGGCACTAATACACTTGATTGATTTTTTCTAATTAACATTTTTTGTCTATGGTTACTTTTGATATTATTACCCAAACAGCGCATATGTCTCTAAAAGCTGACTAAGAGATGACTTAAAAACGTCTTATTGTCTAGACATCTTTAAGACGTCTTTTGGCTTTTTTGTGCTGTCTGGATTGTCTGGATTGTTGGGTTATAATTTGGATTTTTTTATGACATTACATTTACTTTTGAATTCTTTAGTTGGCACTCTTGAAAAAAAAAAAAAAAAAATTGACAGGTCTTTAAAGTGCCAATAGTTGGGTGTTTTACTCTCTAGTGTCTGTGTAATAAACTTTCTTTTTAATCAATATAACGTTAAAATCTATCAATTGCATTGTGATCAAGATGATCATTAGATACTTAGAGAGTACGTACATACAAATAAACACGTTGTTCAACGTGCTAACTCTTTCTGCATCAGATAGGCAATAATAATTTTTTTCATATCAAGACGTAATCAGAAAATTAAGAATGTAATTACTTGGTTGAATATGTTTCTCCTGAATCATATTTGTTACTTTACCTGTGTGGAAATTTTTTGTCAACAGAGAATCCATGTTGAGTTTATGAGGGAGATTCGAATGGAAATTTTCTTACCTTGAAATATTGTATAGACGCATCTCGGGGAAAGGAATTTATTATGTTGACCCCATTCGACCTCAGATTCTTCGGTTTGTAGACACATCTATCCAGAATATATACGATTGTTGATAACTATAGAGCATAGAGATAAAAAAATATCGTATACATATGCATATTATGTTATAGAAAATATAAATTTTTAATTCCTAGCAAAAAGTAAAAATCGATCTTATGGAATATTGTGTGAGAAATCTGAAAATAAGAAATACCGTTATTCGCTAAACACTCTTAGTGTTTTGATATATGTTTCTTAAAAAATAAATTAATATCTCGAAGAACAAATTACGGCGCGGAAATTTAACAAACGCTCTTAAATATCTCTGAGAGCTTTCGAATACACCCATAATAATAACATCCGTTAAATGTCCGCGCTGTCTGACAACGCGGATCAACGAGGAAATCGCAGATTTTCGTCACGAAATGACGATCAGACTTTACCGTTAACTGCTGAAAATTACCTTTACCGATAAATCGTTTTTTTTTAAATACGCAAGATTGACAGGTACAGACACGTCGGAGGGAATTCAGAGAGCAAAGTTTTTGTTCCGTAAGAGTTCTAACGACATTCTGCATTAACAATTATTTATAAATAGTTTTTATAACACACTTAGTCATTAAATTTTTTATAACCACGGTTTATACTTCCCTGCCCGCGGGTATTACAAACACCAATATAATGTACATACACTCAGATAAAAATAGTTGGAGCAGCAACGAATTACAACCTGGTAATTTACGCGCGCGCGAATTACTTTTCGTTTTTTTACAAAAACACGCGTTCTTTTAAATCCGTGAATCCTTCAAATCAAGTCGCAATCAAGTTTTCGACGTTTCTTTCGTCGAATCTAAGAGTCAGCTTTTTTTTCGTGGCTAATCTCTTATCCTTTATTAATTTTTTTTTTTTTTGAGTTTAAAACTAGTTCACGAAGATGAGATAAATCATACGCGCGAATTTTCCGTGTGAATTATTCGCTGCTCCGAACACGCTCGCGCGTTCCATTTTGCGTTCTGGATATTATTCTTTTTTTTTTATTTTTTTTTTTTCACCCTCTCTTTCCTACGAGAGTTCAATGCAACGACAAGGATTCGACGGATAGAGAAACGGAGGCGGCGTGGCGATAATTCTGAAGAAGGGGCCCCGGAGTGGCCGGACCCCTTGACGGCACTTCCACGATTTTCTCCAAATCGTTGGCCGCGCCCGCGCTGTTCTGCTTGTAGAGACGAGGAGTCGATCTCTGCGGAGGCAGTTCCGGAATTATAGACACCGGATCGTCTGGGCGGTCCAGACTAAATTGCCTCTTGAGCATTCGGCAGCCCGGACCTTTTCCTAAAATTGAAGAAAATAACAGTATCATTTGATAGACGCACGCAAAATTCGTTCTTTTAGCTATTTATGCGAGAACTTTTTATTTTTTCGAACACCCTTCCCAACAAATCAGATACGTTTTTAGTGGTTCTTTTTTGGGATTACAATTTTATATTTTCCGCTGATTCATATCCCGTACTTTTTCCCGAGGACCTACACAATGTTCGATAAGATGAACTCCGAACTATCGAGAGAAGTGAGATTCGGAGCGAGATTCGAACTCTCGCTGCTACAATATTTTCCGAATTCATCTCTCTTCTCAACATCTTTTCACGTAAACTGTCAAAAACTATCTCAGTCGTAAACGTGGACATTTGACGTGTAAATAATTCTACTGAGAAATGAAGCTCGGACGTGTCAAAATATTTTATTTACGCACTTCAAATATTTTATGGACACTTACGGACCATATACGTTTTAGAGGAGATTTATAATTGAAAAGGTTAGGAATTTAATATTTATAAAAACAATTTCTAGACTTCAAAGATCAAAGGTCGAGCCGCTAACTTTCGACACGTACCGTGATGCTCGTTAGGCGACAGACATCTATAGTAATTGTACGGCGTGCTGAGGTCGTTTTCGTCTATGCAGGTAGCGGCGAAGCGACGATGTCTCGACAGCGGCTGTCGATACGTAGCCGAGCTCGGGACCGACGTGAGCGAGCTCGTCGACGCGCCAAGAATCGCCGCGGTCGCCTCGGCGCCGGAAATCGAAGATGACATGCCGAGAGAGATCTGTGTGTCGCCAGACGTGCTCTTGTTCACGACTCCCCCGTAAACGCCCTCGCTCGTCCTCGTCACCGAGTCCTGCTTGGCCTGGAAAGTCTCGATGAAGTCGCCGCTGGACTTTAGCGAGTAGCTGGGCAGCAACACGCGCTCGTCGTGCACTGAAACAGCGACCTTTCTGGTGCTAATACCGGTCTCATCCAATGATGAGGTTCGGCTGTTGATGTTAGCGTTGATGCTGCTCACGGAATCTTGACGATCCGGTTTGACATCCGTCATAGAGTTCGTCTCCGTCGTTGTTGGTTCTTCGGGGGTCTCATCTTGCGAGGGAATTACTGGCAATTGCGAACCCACCGAGCACTCACCCGACACTCCGTTCTGCTGACTCTCCAGAATCAAACTTTCGTCGAGCCTTTGGGAATTCGGGGAAGACGTGAGCAATATGGACAGGATGACAATATGACTTATAGCTTTCGCATTTTGACAAAACGAAGAGAGCAAACATAATAAAGAAACAGTATATACAAGTATAAAAAATATATAAAAATATATTTTTTTCTATATATTTTTTCTAATTGTTACTTGATATCGCAAAAGAATTCGCAGATTTCACGTGTTTTCGCAGTTTATAGACGAAAACTCGTGTATATAAAAAATGGTTTTTCTTTTATATACAATGTTGTGTTCTCTCTGCACACTATGGAAGTGCAGAATTTCCTGTGCAAATTGACATTGCTAAAGAGTCCGGGTTTGTTTTGTCACGAATAACGTCACGATGTTTCCACGACGTGCATCGCGCGCAGAACTGACGGTGGAAACAGTGGATATAGAATGGTTTATAAAAGTAATTACAACCGGGGGAAAACGATATGATGACATTACGAAGAGCCGTAACTTTATTCGAGAAAAGGAATAAACTCGTGTAAGAACGTGGGAGAGGCAAGTTTCAGAGTAATTGACATTTTGACGGAAATGTCATTCTCATGCTAATAGTCTTCCGCGAATATTTATTCATGCGCCGTTTTCGCATTTGCATTTTAGCTGAACGCCGCTCGCGTCTAATAACAACATTTGCAATGAATCTTTCATTTAAACCTATCTATATGTTAACGTATATGGATGAGGATATATGGAAGGATTCAAATGAGAGATTAAATGGGACAATGTAAACAAATGATAAGGATAAACAACAAACTTTGTAACAAGAGTTGGATAATAAATTGGTCCGCATGCATCATCCGTAGATAATTTGTCAAGTGATGCGGTCGATTCGAGCAATAATATATTACAAAGCAACAATTTGTTATTCGAAATTATCTACTTACCCATGATTTTCCCTGAATACCGGCACAAAATGGAAACAGATAAAAGGATTATTAAACATCTGAAAAGCAAACAATACGAATAAAGATATAACACAATACAAAAACGAAAAGAGAACAAAATATTATTGTAATTATTAAACATAATTCTAATTTGTTATTCGGCTAATTGCGTCTCAACTATAATTACATTAGATGTAGCTATCTCTCTCGGTCATTTATTTGCGGAAAATGAAAGAAGTAATTAAATTCCTTCTGAAGTTCCGCTCGCAAAATTGCAGAACAAAGTTCTGACTTTTATTATTCGTGCAAGCTTTAATCAGCGCGAACTATTTAACTTGTCATTTTTTTTTTGTTCCGCGCTGCCCAACGCAAAGTGAAAATTTATCTCGTATATAATACATCGAGGTAGCTATTTTTCTCAGATTTGGTTCCGTGCCATCGGCGGCCGAAAGGTTGACGATGTCGGATTGGAAAAATCCTACATAATGTAAACGTTAACTCTCCGAGATTATTATCAGCTTTTTCCTGCTTACGCACGCCATTAAGTAGGTCACTTTTTGCCCATGGGTATTATAAGAGAAGAGCTCGTGCGCGCGGTAAACTTCGTTGTTATATCACTTTCATGCACGTTGAGCAATTATACGTAAAGGAAGTAAAAGTCGAGCGGAAATTACGCAGGTTTCATCGTACAAAAAAAAAAAATTAAAACAAAAGAATTCAAAAATACATAATACTTATACAAAAAAATCATTTTTAAAAAAACCACCTCTCGAACACGTTCGATAATTCGCTTAATAAAAGAAGTTAAAGGTCGTTAATTAAATCCGACCCTATTCTCTGACCGAATCGAAGAGACGAGACGTGTACATGCGCCTATATACCACGTCGACTAAAGGCGCTTGGGCAATCTTTTATATCCCGAACTATCTCCGTTACTCCTGCGAACATTCCGAAACGCTGGAGCGCGATGAAAAAAAGGGGTGCGACATCCAGCGTGAGATATAAAAAAAAAAAAAAAAAAAAAATAGGCTATTGCGCAATAAATTAAATTTAATAAGGTCGCCCGGATGTGCGTGAGCGTGAAATCATAACGGGGCGTCTACGCGGCGACCCCGTGAAAATCCCGTTTCGTAGAAGCCTGAGAAGCCGCGGTCGAGAGATAAGACGCGGGAGACGTTGGGAATTTGGAAAATGTCCGTAACGGCTTACCCGAGAGGTGGCGGCTTGGGAAGCTCCTTGTCAAAACCTTGCTTGCCGAGCAGCCAGTAGGTCGGCATTTTGCCTTTACCCTTGACGTCGGTGGGCCCGCGGTATTCTATGTGATAACCGCCGACCTGCATCAATCGATCCCTCGTCGCCTGGCTCAGATGGACACGCCACGGCGCGCCGGTCGACTCCATTCTCGAAGCGGTGTTTACCGTGTCGCCGAACAGACAGTAGCGCGGCATCGTTAAACCCACCACGCCGGCACAACACGGTCCTGCCGAAGAGACAGTACGAAGGAAGGATTGATAAAAGTTTTCGATACGACGCGTAGATAGCGACGGTAGTACCACATTGCTGTTGACATTAGGTTTTGTTGGAATCGTGGAGATGGCCGTAGAAATTTTTGAAAAAAATTGCAAAGTTTTATTCGATACAAGTGATTTGTTTTTAGAAAAAAGCGTTGCTAACTGTTGTACAATGTACACAGATTGTGCGCGTTATAAAATATAATCATTGAGGAAATGTTACATTAATGAACACGCACACACGTGATTAACTACCAGTTGACACGCACTGGTTGCCAGTCGGTCGAGTCATTGAAATCCAGTCACGCGCGCAATAATAATTAAAATATCTCGTGACTTGTTATTTTTTGAAAAAATAAATGAAACTTGTTGTGTTGCACGTAGTATTTGCACGCGACAGCTCGCCAAAATAAACCGTTTTCAGTGATTTTTGACAATGCACTTCAACTGTCGCAAAAATTTAGTTGGGGGTTTCGAATTTATATGGCGTGTAATTTGTATTTATTTCTGTTTCCGAAAAAATGATGCGGAAAGAAGTTTTCCAGCCACATTGAAGTCTTCGATGCTGTAAATAAGCAATTTGGCGAACTGTCACGTGAACATACGATAAATGAGCTAGAGTTTAACATTATTTCTTCCGAAAGATAAAACTTGTCAACGACACAAACAATGTGATATTACTGTCGCCACGCGCCGTTTCGGATATTTATCAGTCCCACGTAAGTGGATTCCTTCGCCTTAATATTGTACTTCCGCGGCTACTCTGTGGTAGATATACGTGTCGCAATTGCAGCATTCCATGTCTGGATTTATTACTTCGTACCACGAGTGTGTGATTTGCATAAAATAAAAGTGACATAAATTAACCCTTTGAACCCGTTATTCTACTATACAGATGATGAGAAGGGTTTAAAAGGTTATTAGAGACAAAGTTTGAATTACTTAATTCAAATTTTTCCACTGGCATTCGAAAATAAATTGAAAAGATAATTTTTAAAATTTCATTTTGCCTGATTTGAATTTTTCTTGAAATTTTTACATACATAAACAACCTGTATATTCGTATAAAACTGTTGCGTAAAAAAAAGTAAAAGAAATTATTGAGAATCTTTTAAAAAAATGAAAGGAATTGTTTAAAAATCTCAAGAGGCTAACCCGTATGAAGACCGATGCGAAGTCTAAGTGGCATGTTCGGAAGGTGTTTCACCTTAAATTTTCCACTTTGATGTAACAGGTCAAGTGCCATGGTAGCAACTTGGGTAGCGTGATCGGGTATCCTCACGGGACATCCGCCCACGACCATGTAGGCGTCTCCTATAGTTTCTACCTGTGATATTCGAATCGCATTCTGTGATATCAAAGCCCGAAATATATTTTCAGATAAAAGTTAGAAAAAACTTATGTCTGACACACGTTCATTAGATTGGTCGTTGAACAAATGTTTTTTTTTTTTTTCATCTAACTGACATTTTATTAAAACAAATTTTGCAAGTTAGTTTAACAAATATTTACATGTTGTTGCATTATAAATAACATTTAAAATTTGTCAAGATATTACCTTGTAGACCATATACGCGTTAATTGTGTCGTCGAAGCAGGTGTAGAGATCGTTAAGAAGATCGACCACCTGAAAAGGCGTCGAGAGCGCGGATATCGTCGTGAAACCGACGATGTCCGAGAAGTAAATCGTGACTTCGCGAAACTCTTCAGGGTCGACCGGCATGCCGAGTTTTAGTTTTTCAGCGACCGAACTGAAAGCATTGTGCCGAAGTTTACTTTCTCTCTAAATCTGTTTAAGGAAAAGATTGAAAAATTTTTTCCTCGAGTTTTAATTTCGACAATCGAAAGTTCATTATCAGTTTGCTCAATCAAATCACTTTCGAAAACGAAATCTCCTCCGTGAAATGGAAAAAAAAAAAAAAAAAAAATCGCGAGTCGTCCGTCATTTACCTCGGTAACATTCTATTCAATAGCTGTTCGGTTTTCTTTTTCTCCATATCGAGCTGTTCCGTTCGCTCGCGAATAAGTTCCTCCAGGTTGTTCGAGTACTTCTCGAGCATTTGGAACATCGTGTCCACGAAGTTTACCTTTCTGGAAATAAGACGCGGGGTTTGATTGTTAACGGTGGCATCCTTGATTGTTAATCGCGATAGTTGTCGAGTGAAGTTTACACAGAGTTAGAGATTTCGAGTACACACAAGATTAAATCAAATAGTTTTGCTTACACATCGATATATAAATATCTTTTTCTTCTTCAAATTTTCTTTTCCAAATAAGATGAATTTGTATATTATTATACACACATCACTTATCATCATATTTATATTATAATAATAAGATGAATTAATTGCAGAAATTCATTTTGATGCAATTTAAAATTAATACTCGAGCAACTATCCAAACGTTTATGTTTTTAAATTACGAATCGATATGTAAAAAATCTAGATTCCGATGAAACTCATTGCTCCAGATCCGATCGGCGATATTTCCGAATATCGAATACGTTGCTGATCGATAATTAGATAGCGATTCTCGCCGATCTTACCTTCCGTGATTTAACTTCTTGAAGAGATCGTGAACGTCGTCGAAATCAGGCCTCATTTCAGCAGCTTCTGCCCAGCACTGGCGCATGATGTTTATAGCTTCCGGTGGCGCGGCACCTTTGCTGACCGACGGTCTAATCAGAGGCGGTGGTTTCATCACTTTCTCGATTATGTCTGTCAGACACGTGAGAAACCTTTCACTCTCGTGAACATATGTTTTTTTTAATTAAGTAACGGAAGCTTAACAAGAGAGCATATTTATTTTATCAGAGTATTTAAAATTTTACATCTGCACTCTTGTAACCAAATCGTTATTAAATTAAGTGGATCGACACAAATTAAACATCTCAAGCACACATCACAGCAGGTCTAATTACAACTGCTCGCCTTTTTTTCCTACGACGATAATCGTTTTATCGAAAAACAATACGCGGAGAATTGGCTCATTGTTTTGTTTAATTCTTTCGCTATCACACGGGCGACTAAAGTCGCTCGCCACAAAAAGCAGTCTAAAAAAAAGATCAGAATAACGTAATGCAATTAACAACCGTTAGCTTTGACTGCTTGCGCGTGAAATATACACTTGTGGGCATGACAGACCAGTTTGGTAGGATCGGTCTGACAGTCAGACTAAAGGGTTAATTTATCATAGTTCCTATATATTTTCTTGACATTGATTGATACGTGTGTGTGTGTGTATAAGCGCGTGGAATTTCCTCAGTGAGTTAACGTGAGTCTTGCTCTCGGAGTTTTCTTTTGCATTATGCAAATTTTAACTATATACTGCAAGTTAACTATTTACGAAAAAACTAGTTACGGAAAAACCGTTTTGAAAATAAAACCTCGATTAATTTATCGCGTAATCAAAATAATTAAATTCTAATAACACATGAGATAAAAAAAAAAAAAATATTAAATTCTAAAGACAATAATTTTCTCAGCGGAAATTATTCATCAGAGTAGAAAAGAAGAGTCTAAATCTTAAATTTTTTTTTTTTTTTGTCGTTAGAGTATAAGAACGTCGCGGATATATTACCTTCCGGAGACAGAGCGAGCATACAAAATGGCTCCCCGCGAACAACGACTTCCTGCATGATAATTCCGAAACTGTAAACGTCGCCCGGCTGGCTTCCCTTTTTCCGCAGATTCTGATGCCTAAGCAGTTCCGGCGCGGTCCACAACAGATCTATCGAACAACATCTGGTATTTATTTAATATCGCAACCGATACACAGTATTGTTTGATTGAAAACGTTCGCTCTTGTGCGTCAATTATTTTATTTTTATTCTCCCATACTCGCATTGAAAATCTCATTTCGAATGAATTTTTTATTTTTAATCAGAGCAAAAAAAAAAATAAAAAAATAAAAAAAAAATGAACACGCGCGATCTGATTTCAAATTACTTTTATAAAAATGTGAGCAATTGTACTCGAGCGAAACTTTTATGTAGGACGCGCAAATACTTAATAGAGCTTGCCGAGTATCAAACTTTATTTGCGATGTGATGAAACAACGCAGAGAGTTTATTAATTAATCACAATAATACAAAAAACATTCTCTCTCTTTTTCTCGATGATCTGCATCGGATTGTTGTATTTCGCGTTTTTTTTTTTTTTTTTTTTGTTATTTATCCGAGAGAGAGTTTTAATTAATATACTTTATTTTTCTGACGGAAAAAAAACGTCGAGTCCGCTCTGAGGAAGACAAAATAAAACGCAGCTGAGAACTGAAACAAAGAACTTACCCCGAGCTGTTTTCGCCGGCGGCGTGATGTTTTGCGCTTCATAAAACGCAGGCAAACCGTAATCGGTGACTTTCAAGACCCATCTTGCGTCGATCACGCACTTCCGCGACGTCAGATAGCCGTGGACACGTATCGGTGTGCTATGAAGATACCTCATACCCTGAATATGAACAAAATTCGAGCTATCCAAAGATTTTAACTTTAAAAAACATTGACACATCGAGAATCAATTAAAAGTGAGATTTCAGAATCTCCGAAAGATGCCATCTCGGAGACTTAACAAATTTGACCTTGAGTTTTAATCCGTAATTCCAAGCGCGCGCGAATAACTGGCGCAAATAACTTCTTGACTTTCCTCTTTCTTTTCAAAATCTTTCGGGCGATATACGCGATTGCCATGAAGTTAAACGTATCGTGTAGTAGCGGATTACGACTCTACTTACCCGCACGAGATCGGTGAGCAGGGATAATCTGAAGGACCAGTCGAGTTTAATCTCGTCCTGGACGAGCACGTCCTCCAGAGAGCCCCTCGAGCAGTATTCCGACACTAGACAAGGTCTCGTAGGTTCGTTAAGGCATCCGATCAGAGGATTGAGATTTTCATGTCGCAGCCCGTGGATCTGTCAAAAAAAATAAAGAAAAACGAGGGGAAGTGGAACAAAATTCGATCTTGAATTCTAACTCGGAAGAACGAATGAATAAGAGAGGATGTGCGCCTTTACCGTGACCAGCACGTCCATGGCCTTGTTCTTCAGTTCGAACGTACCTTGAAAGGGCAGTTCCTTCAATTGAACCAGATCACCCTAAAAGCAAAAATCGGGAGAATGGGATTATTAGTTCCGGTTCAGTTCTGGTACAATATTAAGATCTGTGGTTTTGAATCTCTCGACGCTAACCCCCGTTAGCAGAAATGATCGATGATGAAACGATTGAAAAACAAAGAACTAGAGTGGATCGACTGGCGCGCAGTTAAAATGCGTTTTAATAACGCGTTATCAATCTTCATTAAGCGCGAGCGTTTCTTATCGGTCCGATCGTATTACGGGACTCGCGGTATTAATCGGTGCCGTCATATACGGGACACCGAGCGTCTGCGAAAATGAATATCGATGTGTGTCTCGTATATTCTCGGCGCCATCGCATAATACCACACGTCATGTCGGGCGGAAAATTCTCAGAAGTGATCAAGGATGAAATTGTTTGCAAGGGCGAAAGTACACGATGTGGGACACCGATAATCTCTCGGAAAGCGCGTATATAGGACGTTTCAAGTATCGCACCCGCTTCGAATTTCATTCCCCATTTTCAAAACACAGAATCAAATTGAATATTCGAACACAATCAGGAAACTTCAACGCGTCGTCCGAAAAGTTGCTCGCACATTTGTGTTTCCGCGCTCGCATGTAATTACTTGTCTAATTTTATTTACTCCGCATTATATATCAGGCGGTTGCAGAAGTTATTCAAGCGTAACTTAATCAACGCGAAAATTCGATTAACACTGCGCTAAAATCTGGCGTGGAAGGAAGACGACAAGTTATTGGGTTTCACACCCGCGATACAACGTTATCGTCGTCGTCGTCGTCGTCGGCAGTGCGAAGTGTGTCGAGTGTGCAGTCGCGTTATTGACACGTGGTGATGTGGCTTAAGGTAATACTCACGTTATACCTAGCGCGTGGATCTTTGAAGAACGTGTGTCGCGGCATGTTTCCGCCGCTGGTCTGCAGATACGGCCGCAGGGAATTGACGCTGCCGCCGAGTTGTAGCAAATCCGGCTTCTCGCCCACTTCCGGCCCGCCAAACTCCTGCAGCTGCTGCAGCCAGCAGCACAGCATCGCCTCGATGCCCTCGTCTACCTGTGCGATAAAATGCGGAAGCCGGATCGAATAGGATACGAGGTAATAGAATCGAGTAGGCGAGCGTTTTGTAGAAACGGTTTGCCGGTCGGAAAAGCCTCAATCCTCTGATACAATCTGATTCTCGACATGAAAAAAGGCTGCAAATGCGGCGGGGAAAGAGGGTGGAAAAAATCTCGGAAAAAAAGCGATACGCTTTATATACTACTTTCCAAGCAAGGTGCTGAGAAAATATTTATGTTAGTTTCGCACTTCATGAAACTCATGCACTCTCTCTTTACGAGATTTCTCAGAGTCTGAGAATGAGAGAGTGAGTAGAGCTCCGAGTTCGAGGAAAAATCATTTTTCGCGCGGAAACAAGGCTCTTACATCATCCCTTTATAAAAGTTTTCACAAGCTTGCGGTATAAAATTATGAGACGTTGACCGACAAGTTTTTTTTTAGATATAAAATTACAAAGAATGCGTATAATACGTAATTTCGAGAGCTTAATGTGTAACGCTAGCGTGTCGGGGGAATGTTTAAAATTTAAACCCGGGTTGTGTTCAAGCCCGGTGAACTGGCGTTGACATTTAGCAATTTTATCGGATATTTCTAGACCTAGACCGATATAATTTAGGAGTTCACGTAGCGAGCGATCTCGTGTGAAATATATCACATCAGAACCGTGGCAACCGTTCTTGCGTAAAACTTTCCACCACGTTTATATCGCACGAGAAATTTTCTCCGTCGCAACAGTAAGAAAAAGTTAGCCGATGTTGTTAACACAATTCTCTTCAATCCTGACTCGTATGAAAAACCGTTTTCGCATAGAACGACGCGGATTACGGTCGCGTGTAACAAAAGGATTATCATCCGTGTGCGATAATAACAAGTAAAAAATCATCACAGAAATTTTCTAACAAAACTTCCGCCTCTCTGCTGAGCTCAACGACAAATCTTGAGTTTTTTTTCTGTCGTTTTGCAAAACAATAAAAATATCAGAAACATGAATTTCAAGCGAGTAATAATTTTTTGGTTCGTGCATAAAAAAAAAAGAAAAAAAAAAGAGTACGTTTAAACGTACTTGTTTGAAATCACAATGCCGTGCAAAAGTTCTTCCATTGTTTTAAACGATGGTTGTGCAAAGGTTAAAAGCCAAACGAAATTTCACTCACCGTCCTCGAATCTACTGTAGGCACTTGAGGGAAAACAAAATCTGATGTTGTCAGAATGATTTTGTACGGGCCTTTGGACATCCTCTTCTTAAGCAGCCGCTTCCTGCGATCACATCGCGCGGAGAATATAATTCAACACATCCGGTAGAATGTACCAGTTTTTTGAAGGTTTTTTGTTTCTGATTGTTTTCTCATTTGGCTCAATAAAGATTATTACTGTTATCATTATTAAAGTCGCAAATGGTGCTAAATTATTTACATCTACATAAATCACAACATATGAATTGACCTCAGCTCTTGAACTTTGTGTGTACGTATTTAAATCGAATATATAAATAAAAAAATATTACGTTCTCTTGCGCAAGAGCGAAAGAGTTTAACTGTCGGCTGTGATTGATGTTTTACATAAATAATAAAGTGATCGCTCACCGGATTATAATCGCGACGGCGATGGCGACAAAGGTGAACAGCAGCGACCCCAGAATAATAGCTATGATATGTGTGGTGCGGAAAGACATGTCGGGCGAGTCATCTGTTAAATAATTAATACACTGCATTATCTCGTTATGGCGTTATCAGGCAGTTATATTTTCGGATACGGAGGGAGCTGAGAATTTTATCGATCTCGACAGCTGGCGGTGAAAGGGACAGTCCCTTCTGCGTGCTTTTTCCCCGTTTCCATAATTATCTCATCCTATTTTTGGCAGTGAACCTTCTTGTGCCGCAACGCGGTCGCACGGCCATCGCGTTAGACAGAATCCGTTAAATAATAAACGAATCGCCGCCTTAAACGTTTATCTCACAAAATACATCATGTGACATTAATTATATTACTTAATTACTTAATTAATTATACTCTTAATTAATTTATACGAAGTAATTACTGTGTTTTGTTGATTATTTTGTCAAGCTTCTCTCTCGAAAAGCAATTATCTGATCGAAAAATGGTTGGAAATATATATATATATATATTTCCGCTCGTCAACATACAAGGGGCGATTGATAAGTACAGTAGTTTCCGCGTTTGTCGTTGATAAGTTTTTTTTTTTTTTTCAGAAAAACAAATGTGAAACGCGCTTGTTCATTATCGCATGCGGCGCGACAGCTCGCCAAAGTAGACGCGCTCTCATGTGATTTTTGGCAACGCACCAAATCACGCTTCAACTGTTGCAACGGATAAAATTTACGAGTTGAACTTTCGAATTGCCGCCTCATCCGTCTTATTCCGCCAGAATAAGTGGGACCTCGCGTAAGCGATTTCCAGTTATTTGCGAATCTGAACAGTCGGATCGATCGAGAGAAGTTTTCGAGCAGTTGAAATCTTCTTTTCGATACTCATCAATCGCTCCTTCCGCGCGATGATTCTTCAGTATAATCGTAAGAAAGTGCTTTCCTCCTTCTCACACAAGTGTCGCAAATCAACTCTGAAACTCACCCGGGCAATCGTCGACGTCGCAGGACGAGTCAGATGTTTCGACCTGCGTCTGGTTGAGAAACGGTACCGCGCTCAGCTGTTGAACCAGCAGTCGTTGATGTTGCTCGACCACCGCGAGCATTGGGTGCCAGCCGGCGTCGCGCCAGCCCAACAGGGCGTACGTGTACATCTTGTTGTTGTGGCCGTCGAGGCTGCTGTTGTCGCGCGTCAGCACCGTCAGCGATTCATTCAGTCGATCGAGCAACGCCAACGTCGCGTAATTCTGCGTGCCATTGAAGACCTTCCTCACGTCGTACCTGCGTAAAACGTCGGCCAAGAACCAGTTTCGTAGAAACTGTTCGTCGAACTATTCTTGTACGAAGGCGACGCAGCGTCGCGACGCTCCGCCGTGACGCGCCGCGCGAACCCGTTCCCGTTAGCGAAAGTTAATCATGAGGCGAATTACACGGATGAGCGCTCGCAATTAACTCGGCTCGAATGATTCGACAGGCGCGATTTGTATTATAATTCAGGATCGTAGTGTTTGCGCGCGCAGTCGGAATCTCTCGTAATTACGTAGCGTCGAGTTTAGAACGAGGGATAAAAAGTCTCTAAAAGAGAGTCAGATATCCTTTCGTCAGCAGGAACGAACTCCACGTTTGTTCTTCCAACGTTTTACTTGAATCGCGCGAAGTATCAGACATGTTGTTCGTGTTGTTACGTTGACAGTTTTTTTTTTTTTTTTTTTTTTTTCC